CTACTACTACTACTACTACTTTACTTCTGCATGCAGACCTAGCAAAGTGCACGTTGCAGGGCGTCCATGTAGCGACAGGTAACAACTCCGGAGACAGTCTAAGTCTAGTCGCAGTGCTTGCCGAACAGCTGTACAACCAGAATCGCGCCAACAGCAAGGCGATGCAGATCCCCTTTCCTAAAATTTGCTTCCTGCTCATCCTTCATTAACTTGGTGGTATTCCCTTTTTCCGAGCAACGCACCGGTAGTTGCACAAGATCCCATCTCCATTGCTTGCTCTCGATCCTTCGCATTGTTTATCGCCGAGCACTAGCCTGTTTTCGCTAAGATCCTCCACCGCATGTCGAGGGGATGCTTGATAAATGTTGGAAGTCGACCGACAGGTACGCAAACATACATGCTGGATGCAACTCCTTTAATTACACCAAGATCCCGAAGTGCGGTGGTTTGGGGATGTGTCTGTGTCATTGTTAACACGGGTGAACACACGATTGGATACACCGCCTTGCATCCCGAGAGTGGACACCAATCGATTTTCTAAGACTCAACTGCGAAAAGCTAAGCGTTTCCTGCAGTGGTTTCGGCCGGGCTCGGCTTGTTTGGACAAGTCTTGAGGTCCCACAGCCGGTGAATACAGCGACTACGAGCCGACTCGGGAGCTATCGCGTGCGAGTGAAGACCACAGGATCGACGAACCACCGTCTTCCAAGAATCAAACTTCTGATGTGTGCCAGTACAGTTCAGCTTATACCTGGCGCATGCTTTACAGAGCAACGCTCGGCTTGGTAGGCACCAGACTTTCTTGCATCATGCGGAAGGTGAAGCGTGGGGTCACGGAGACCTGCAAGTCCTCCAGGACACTGTGGCAAACGAGACAAGGCCCATTGACAAAACTGAGGCTTCGGCAATCACATCTCCCTGGAAGACAGACGTCTCGCCTGGACACTGCCAAAGCCATGTTGCTCCATCTGTGCCTGTGCTTCCGAGCCTGCGAGGTAGTGAACGGCCTGCTTCCACTCAGAGTGTCCATTCCTCGCAGGAAACTCCCAACCTCCCAACCACCAATCAAGCCCAGTATCCAACCGACCCTGAGTATGCGACGGGGGAGCGTCCCGGTTCTCCAGATCAGGACGTGTTGAATACTCTTCGTCTCCGAACCTAACATGTCTCCGAACGTTTCCACATGACTGCAGCCTTAAGTAACTTAAGTACGTCCGTCTGAGCTGGAGGCTTTGCGACCCACCACACAGCGACACCTCTGGAAAGCTCCCGTCAGTGAAACTTTCGCACGGAAACTTTCTGCTGTCCGTAGCGCAATTACAGCGACCACGCTTGTCCGCTTGGAGCTTCATTGGCCTCCGGACCTGCGAGTCCATGCCAGGACGAATTTCAAGCACCGCAGATGCCTTGTGTGCAGAGCCTCATCCAGAGTGATCTCAGGCGAACGGTCGAAATCAAAGCCGCAAAGCGTTTTCCTGACGCATCGTGGTCGGTCTCGCATGAACCAGGTGCTCACAGGTGCAGCCAGGCGACGCAGGCCCCAAGAGAGCACAGTTCGTGTTGGGCTGGCTCCCCATCCGTACCTGGGGCTCAATCCTCGTTGGTGCCCTCATTCTTGCAACTGTCAAGTAGCAGACCGGCCACCACCAAAAGTCTGCTTTGTCGTTGGAGGATGTGTGACCTTGGCCAAAGGGTCTACGGAGTCTACGGCATGGTCTCGGCATAGATTCGGCAAAGTGGGCAGTGACAGCAGCTTGACTTTGGCATGCTGTGACCACTGACCTGCGCCTAAGGTCGGCGCGGAGGGTGTTGAAAGGTCGCAGATCAAACTCCAAGAGCCTTTCTGATCTAATCTCCGCCTTGCAGACATTGGGGTGAGAGATGAGAGAGATGGAGTAGAGCGCGTGTCGGGCGCCCGGCAGGTGCTGCCAGCAACTCCACGGTCTTCGGGAGGTGCCGGATGGATTTCGCCCCGCAGTGTCGCAACGCCTGCTGGGGATCGGGATCTCTCACCGATTTCTGTCTTGCAGTCTCGAGGCCTGGTGCACAGTGACACACGCAGGCACGATGCCGTTCGACAGCAAGTCGTGCGCCATCCTTTCATCCGTCCAGCAACGCTGCAGCTTTCTGCCGTGCTTCTTCATTGCCTCTCGGTGACCACGCAGACGGATGCTGCCTTAGGCAGCTTCCTCGGACAAAGCAGGTGTGAGTGAACCCCCGACTTCGAACAAAGTCGTTCCACAGTGCACCTCGAGATCGTGTCCCGGACAGCCTCTGCCTAGGATTCTGCCCCATCAAAGGGTCCTATACTCCTATACATTGCCGAGACAGGACCCGGACATTGTCCAAGCCTTCTTTGATCACCTCAGGTGTTCATTTCTGGATGCTTCTTTCAGCAGCGTGTTGTGAAGATTGAAAATAATCATGAAGCCATGCCACCAAGGCGCAGCAGTCGGAAAACTGAGTTTGTTGGCTTTGAGGAGTTGCTCTGCCACCTCGTCTGAGTCTATTCCCGCAAGAGCTTGTGCAGGCTGCCCTGGGCTGCACATCTTTACAACAATAGCTCGCCTCTGCCAGCTTGGTCGACCTGAAATGCGAGCTGAACCCTGTTTCGCAAACTGCCCCTACGTAGTAACCTGAAGCCTACTGGGCACCCCGGCGTCTCCAGCAGGATCCCACGGAAGCTGCGGGCGGCTTCCAACAGCGGCAGGACCGAGCCGATCCCGAGCACCACCTCGGAGAAGTCGTACGGAAATCCTCCCTTGAAAATTTGCGTTTTCCGGGGCTCCAACCACGAAAACGTCCTGGGACTCACAAAGCACACTGGGCTAACAACTGCAGCACGACTGCCTTGTCCAAGCTGGCTAGGGCACGCTTGTAGAAACTCTGCCTTGCAGAATGGCGGCAGTCACTAGCAACGCCCATCGAGAATCTCTTTCCTTTTTTCTCGACAGCTGCCTTGGTCGCTCCAGCATTGCGGAGTGGAAGCTGCGGCCGAAGACCTGCTTCAGAAAAGCCCTACTTACTCCTCTCCCTTTCTCTCTGGAGCTCAGGCCGGTGCCTGGGCCAAGCTGTGCGCGTGATCCTCTGAACGCACAAAAACCATTCTGCAGTAGAAGCCATAGGACCAGGAAAAGATGTGATACTTGCTTCAAATTTCCGCTGGTTCAGTCCTCCTTCTTCTCCTCAGAATCTAGCAGCTTCAACAAGGAGAGCAAGCAATTTGTGCCACCTGCAGCGCTCATGGCCACGTTGTTCTGCGTCACGTGTACACGCGAGACATGAAACCTTATCATCACATGGTCCCAGTCGTCGCATGGCCGTCGCAAACAATCTTCTCCAGCCTCCTCCAGCAGTGCTGCCCTGGAGGAAGTCAGGCACAGGAAGAACAGGTTTCTTCTTTGTCTTCCCCTCTGCCAAGTCCTCGCAACCAACATCGCAATGCACGTGGGACTCAGGGAGCTGCCTTTGACCCTTGCTCCTTGACCCCCACATCTGCTTCATCTTCCCTCCGCTGTGGAGCCTCCTCTTCATCTGAGTCGACCTAGTTCACACAAACTGCATTAAGAGCAAATTGCACACAGATTTTCCAGGTTAAAAGCCTGGCCACTACGTGTGAAATCCGAAAATCTGGGTGGGGCACGATGTTGCTCCACTTCGAATAATCCAAAACCTGCGAACACATTGTGCCCAAGACATAAGAGCAGCTGCCTGCAAGACTTATGTAAACTTATGATCTTCTGAGTATTTGGGGCTCTGCAGGTTCCGAGTTCAGGCCTTCGTCGTCTGTCGCGATGCCGGCTGCGATGGTTGCTCAGGCTTTGCTGGCTGTGATTGCGCGGGCTGTGCGGGCCGTCCCACCGCCGCTATGCTGGCAGCTAACTTCGGAAATCGCCAAGTGAGGAGCCGACGAGCAAAGTCCGCCTGGCGCAACACAAAACACAGCCTGCCTCTCAACACATGTCACTGGTGTCCCCATGTGTCACCTCGTCACATGTCCCGTCGGAGTCTGACCCCTCTAACATGGATTGTGCTATCGAGTCTTCAACACAGCGCCTGGACGGACGTCGAAGCACCCCGCTGCTTCTCGCTGCCGGGGGCTTCCACCAGCAGCAGCTCGTGGAGACCCTGGGCAGTGGAAAAAACGATGAAACAAGATGGTCTCCTGTTTTCATGGAACAAGTCGCCTAAGCTTCTGCACGATAGCCTGAGCCCTGCCCAATTCTTCAACCCGAACTCTTGCAACCATCATCATGTGCCGATCCCATCACCCCATCACCATGTGCCCGTTGGCCTCTGGGCGCGGAGTTAGATCGACCCACCGTCCGTCTGGATGACAGTTCCACCAATACCGCTCTGCGACCTTGCATGTACCAAGCACACAGAACAAGCCACACAAAGAGGATGTTCCTGTGAATTGTTGTTGGTTTGCAAGCTCGCTGAACCTCCCTCCCAATCCAGCTGTTGTTCTGGCCAGATTGAGCTTTCTTCATGTTTTCGCAGATATTCTGAGGGCCCCGGCAAAGTGTCCGGGCCGGTCGCCACGCTCGTACACGGCCCAGCCACGCACGAGGCCCAGCCGCGATCTAGGAAACTGAAACTTGCAGCACTCGCTCTTACCGGTGGCTGGGGTCGCAGCTTCGCTGACAGCTGCTCAGCATTGCTGAAGCTTTGCAGCGGATAGCACCTGAAGGCCAGCATTGACATCCCCCGTCGCAGTCAATAGACTCTCCACTACAGTCACCATGGTCCCGACGTGACACCAGCAACCTGCACGCATCAGTTCAGCACACTCAAGCGTCAGCAACGAAGCCCAATCTTTCTTTCGCTCAACGAGCTGGGGTCGGGGGCAGAGGCTTCAGACGAGACATGGAGGAAAATGCCCGGGCCATGATGTAGACCTTCTTCATCTGTCGAAGCCAATGTGCCAGTGTAACCTTCTTCCGAACAGATTTGCTTTGGTCGTCGTACACGAGCTTGATCATTTCGATGCACTTCTCTTTCAGCTGCGGCACCTGGCCGAGCACATCCATGATCTGGGCCGTACACGTCCGGAGATTCTCCGGTACAGGCGGCTTGTTAGGTCCGATTTTCAGGTCCATGCGCCAGCGCTTCACGACTCCGCAGAAGTCGACGGCTACGGTGAAGCTTTCGGCCTTAAAAGCACGTGGCGTGTCCTTCGCTATCGTGCCAATACGTCCTGTGCTCTGATCGACCAGGATCCAGTCTGGGCCGGAAAGCTTCTCGAACCTGAGCGGTTGGAAAGGGCCGCCTGCGTGGCCGTCGTCTTCTGGGCCTTCCTCCTTGCTTTCGTCCAAGATGTAGAGGGAATGCAAAAGGTCCCCAGCGCTTGCATCCAGAGCTGCCGCCAGTGGTAGTGGCATCACCGCTTGCTTCACGCACTGGATGACGACCATGGCCACCTGGGTCGCAGCCTGTCTTTGCCTCTGGAAACCTGAAAGTGCGAACTCTCGGTCAGCAGCCCTAAGGGGCTCGAGGAAAGCATGGCCAGAATATCCCCCTCTGATTCGCAGCATCCCCTCCTGCAACTTGAAGCCGCTCACAGCCCTTTCCACCGCCTGATCCCTGAGGGCGTTTTTGAGCCATTTCCTGTCAAGGTCTACCTCGCCGACATGCCAGTCCTCCATGCACCGGCACTCTTGTTGACAGAAGCCCGGCGGCATAGCTGGGCCATAGCCCGTGGGGTACTCTCCTTCATGTTTGGGCCACCCTTCTTTGATTTTGCCCTTCTCTTCCTCGCTGATCTCCGGCTTTAGCTCCTCCCGGAGCCCGTGAAGCACCTTGCCGGAAACATCGCGGAATGTTGCCTTCGCGGTTTCCGCTACATCGCCATTTGCCATTCGCTTTGTACCGCGGGCCTGTTCCTTGTTGTCTTCGGTGAAGCTTGGATTTCGGGTGACCTTTTTCTCGCGCTCCTTCTGCCCCTCCAGCCACCGCTTCTTCGCCGAGATGCGCAGAGCATCCAGATCGTCCGGCAAGCATTCGTCGGGCTCCCAGGTGCACTTTGGAAAGCCAGGCTCCCCTTGCGGGGTGTCTTCAAAGCTCTCCATTTCCAGAGGAGGGCTCCACTGCACCAGGTAGAAGTCTTGATAGAGCCCGCACTTGGGATGGGCGAAGGCCTCCCATGGCGGGAGGTACCTCTCGAGCCTATCCACCCTATACCAACCGGGTGGAGAAACCTCGGCTTCTGTCAGCTGGCTGTCATCTCGAAGCGGGCTACGCCTGTGGGCCACGATTCGGCCCTCCCGAGTAACGAAGGCAGGCCCTGTGACAGCAGCGTTCAGCAGACTCTTGCTGACATAAAGGCTGGCACTGATATTTCTCTGCGACTTTTCCTTTAATATCACATCGAGTAATTCGGTGACCCAGGGGCAGCTGTCCTCGTTTTCATTCTTCCGCATCAACTCTTCTAGGACCAGGAGGCCCTCGTACCAAGGCAGGATCAGCCCGGCTTTGACCTTGATGCTTGCCATGCCCGTGGCGCTGCGCTCCCTGACCAAGGCCGTGCCATCGAAGGCATCTGCAACGAAGACGGCCGGGGACAGGCGATAGGCCTTCTTGCCCCAGAGTCCTTTTTGAAGTCTGGCCTCGTGGGCTGCTGCGTTGTGGGGCAGGGCAGCAGCATCCCGGGTTGAGGGCTTCTCGTCGTTCTTCCCAGTCTTCGGTGCGAACCAAATCCAGCAAGATTGGCCCTGGTCGGGGAGGAAGGGATTCTTCTCCTTTTTCTGTGCCGCCATGGCGTGACACTCCACACTGCCCTGTAATTTACTGTTTGCTGAACATGCGATGATGTGCCGTATGTTCAACGGGCTTAGGAGCGAGCAGCTGCGAGTGCTTCGGAGGCGTGCATATGCTGAGTTGCAGATACTGTGCAAGCAGCCTTGGGCCGAAGTAATGCTTGAGCCCTAACCAGTCGTGTCCGCAGCAGTAGCCGTAGCAGTTGTGGGAGGAGGAACAGGAGCAGGAGCAGGAATTCTTGTAGTTATCGTTTTGCTGCTGGTTTTTAGTCGTAAATGCGGCCGAGGTCGTAGACGACTGGCCTGCTCTGCTGGTGAAGGCTCGCCAGCCACCGCGACGCGCTTGCCTCGAGCGAGGTCTGTAGCAGACGAGCCCCATGTCACCAGAGCTGAGGACAAAGACAAGCGTAAAGCTGTGGAAATGAGTTCCCTCGATTTCACAACTCCAGCCTGGCAAACGGCCACGCTTTCCTGGGCTGCCGGGCTGCATTCGCTGTGTCACGGATCAACAGCCCTGCTATTCTGGGCCAGCCACCGATTAATGCCCTCAAGGCATCGCTCTGGTAGGCCGCAGGCCTCGAAGGCGAGGGAGAGAAAGAGCGCGAGAGAGAGGGCGAAAGAGCGAGACGGCTCGAGAGCGAGCGAGAGCGAGAGAGAGAGACAGACAGAGAGAGAGAGAGAGAGAGAGAGAGAGAGAGAGAGAGAGAGAGTCAAAGCATGATTGGGCCACTGCCAGTTGCTCGGGAAGCTGAGGGAACGGAGGTCGTCCTGGCAAAGGCGGAAACCCGCTGCTCCCACTCAAACAGATGACTCAGTACAGCACCTCCCGTACTTTGTCATCGCAGGACACAAAGTCCTTCGAGCAGCCAAGACAGGCCCAAGCATCCAAGATGCGTGATCATGGCTACAACACCACTTTCCTCTAAGTCCAGCCAGATGCCATGGCTGCCCACATCAGGCAGCCCATGCACTGTCTGCATCATCGGGGAAGGAACAAAGGAGTTGATTGGTGGAGCTGTGAGACTGTGTGTGCCTGCACATGCTTAGCTTGTCATGTCGCTTGCAAGACTTACTGTTTACAATCAACGGTCTTGATGTCCCACAACATTGAGTGACATTGGCTTCTTTCTAGTACATCTAGTACTATTGCGGACGTAACGGTAGAGTCACCAACACACTTTCGGCTGGCGATTTGTGTGCTTGCTGGGAGGCAGGTTGACAAGCTGTACTCTAAGCAGCAAAAGCTTGCCGATGAGCCGTCAGATGTTCCTGAAGATGCCCCTTGCATGTCAGTCAGCACCAATCTCAGGCAGCCTCAGCCTATCTTGACTTTTCTCGCTTCTGCCATCAAATCTTCCCCAGACCCCAGACACCCCAATCTTGCGGATGTTGGCGAGCACATCCCTTCCAATTGATCTCAGGTCTACTCCATGCCGCCGAAGCCGAAAACCTCGGATGATGTGCAGCTACGGCTCCCAGGTAGACACTCTAAGATCGGCTCCGGACATCTTCCTCCTGGAACAAAATATGGCCACAAGACTCTGGCACAACTCTCATCCTTTATGCTTTTCGCGCCTCGAAGTCGGGCTCCGCTTGCGCCTGGGCGGCCTGCGCGGCCATCGCTTCTTCTTGGGCCTCCTCCACGGCCGCCTCACGCTGCCTCGTGGTCGCTTCTGAGCCCACAAAGCGCACAAGGCATGGCATCTCTAAGCAGAGCCTCTTCCGCTCGAGCGCTCGAGCACGATTCTCAGCAACCTGGTGTGTACCCCCGATGCCAGACACTATCCCTGGCCACAACAAAAGTCTCAGCTGCAGGCACGCTTGGCAACTTCTGGGTCCAGCTCGAGACTGCCGACCTGTCATGCGCGAGACATCGATACTCTGGTGGTGCTGAACCCCAGCTAGCTGGCCTCTTTCGTTTCTGAAGCCTTCACAAACATTGTAAAGAGAACTGCAAAAGATGCGACTTCAAGATGGGCCTGACTCGTCGACTTCTTGTACCAAAGTCTGAGCCTGGTCAGGCGCTCAAGGAGGCACAACTGCAAAAATATGATGTCCAAGGCGGCGGACTTGTGCAGCTCTTCACGAGGGTTGCAGTCCGGCTCCTGCCGTGCCGGCTCGGCTGAAATAGCATCACGGACTGAACGATCTCCTTCTTCTCCAGAACTGAGCGGGACTTCCAAATCAAATCCTCGAAGTTGTCCTGGCAAAAGAATTTCAGCGTCATCCCAGGCCTGATGCTCCGAAGGCTCCTCGTAGGGAAAGATCTCCCTGAACCACCTTTTGTACGCGGCCATCAGTACCTTATGTGTGTGATTCCATGTATCAAACGCCCACCCTTCCATGTGCTTTGCCCACTCTCTCTTCCATTCCATTAAAGGGGCACCTTCAAATCCTCGAACTCATGGCCTTCCCCCTTGAACTCCAGCTTGGCACAATCGCCGATGACCTCTCGCTCGGGCACACCCCATTTCCATTTGGCAAGATACGATCTGGCCTTCTTCAGACCAGCCTCCTGAAAGAAGTGCTCGAGCCTGTTGTCCAGGAGTCAGGCTTCGTGAGGTTTCGAGTTGTAGGCTGTAGAATATACAGTTCACATGCGCTCAACCTTTGCGAGGCTCTGACGTCAGCTTTGGCTTTCTCTTGCTAGGCGGATTAACTGCCTCGCAGTCTCAGAAGGCACATCGCGCCGTAAGTGCCTCGCATCTTCTCCTCCGGCCTCTTCTTTCACGTCCTCCATGTTTATGTCCTGCCACTATTCGATCTGCAAGAGACCGCTGACTTCGCCGTGTTTCGAACCGCCTCTGTGAGGCCGAGCATACCGCCATGAACCTCAGACCCAGGATGTGTCACATATACGCAAACTCACAACTGCACAGGAACTGAGTTTGCTGAGCTGCACACTGATGGGCCCCGAGTGGCTGAAGTAGTCGCCATGGCTAACACTACCAGTCCCGCACGGTCGAAAAAAACACTCGGACTGCTCCACATCTAAAGTGTTGCTAAAGTTGTGCATACTTCGTGGTGGAATAGTACCATGACCAAGATGACCACAGAATCCCATTGTCACTGACATGTCTTCAAGCGAGCCTGGAAGCTTCATCAACACCGTACTTCTCACATGCTTCATCGATTTGGGGAAATCACAAGATCCATCCGGCCGTCGTAATGCTGTCGGCATGATACAAACTGCCGCTCCTGTGGTGAAGCCTTGGCTGGCTTGCATTCATTCCCGACAATGAATTGGCAAACAGCTGCGTGAGAATGCTCCGGGAGTCACAGCCCCAATCCAATAAGCATGCACTTCGAGGTCGGTGGGTGCGTGTATGACCGGTGCGAGGAGAATGATCCCATTTTTTGCAAAGCACCATGTGGCTGCTGGCCGCGAAATCACTTGCCGTCGTCTTCACTTCTCAATGGGAAGATGGTGCTGGCGCCCCGACCGCTACAACTCAATTCTTGCGAGCTTTACCTGTCGAACACAAAATGTAATAATACCGATGTACACGCCGTTGGAGTTGCGCTCGTACACTGGAAAACTGAATCAAGGACATAATACCATGTTGTAGACAGGTTAGCACTGCTCTACCCGTTCAAGCACTCTGTTTAGCCGTGTTGGATCGGTAGGCATTGGCATAGTGTGAGTCATTTCAGCATAGTTTTGTACAGAACTGGCCGCATAACAGCAGATTAAAGTCTGAGCAATCGAAATGGACACTCAAGTTGGAATGGCTGGTTTGGCAAAAGTCTGATGCTTGGGTTCCCGCATAATAACTTGATTTTCTGTTGCGCTAGGCAGAAGTTTCAGCAGGTATGTTGGGGTAAATGGTGAAGCGCTCACACAGGTTGTCCGGTCGCATGAAAAGCACCGCCAGGCCGTAGGAGGACCGACCACAGTTCTTGCCGATTTGTTGCGGCGTGTAAATCGGATGTTTGGGCTACTCGATTGGTGAGCGTGTCGTCGTTTTCCACAAGTTTTAGCCTACAAGCACCGATCTCTGCATGCCTGGCTCCTGATGTATAATCCAAAATGTGGAAGTCATCAAATTGCCGCAAAGATTCAAAGAATTTGTGACAGTGAAGACGAAAGCCTCCCTTCTGAGTTCGCGACAGAAGCTGGGAATCCGTCGGCTAAACCAAGAGTCCGAGTTGACTCTTGGCGGGTCTGCCAGTCCTGATCTCTTACCCGCCTGAAACGTACACCACCAATCTTTGGCATGACCTCTGGCAGAGTGTCTGTGGGCTGAGCAAGAGAAGCCACAGCCCGAAAGACCCCTCGAGTAAAGGTCTCGACGTCATCGGACAGTTGGGTCCTTCTCGGCTGCGCTGAAGGTTCCGAAGCTTTTCCTGTAATCTTTGTGGGCCCATTAACACGCTAAGAGTGACCGCTTAGAGTTGTACTGTGCTGTTTAACTAGCAAGAGTCTGAAGGCCTGGAAGATGCAGGAAATCGTGGGACGAAGAAGAAAGTATTGGAAGTCACTTCGTATGCTTGGAAGTAGCTTAGAACTGAAGCTTTGGAGTTCGTATGAGATGGCAAAGTTGAAGATGCACAAGGACCTGAGAAACTTTGTTGTTCTCTAGGTCGCACTGCTCT